ACTTGCTGAGCCCTTTTCAGAGCTACTCCCCCATTTTGTATCTCTTATCTGTGGCTCCAAGAAGCTTATAGCATGTGCAGCAGCCACAGCCCAGCAAAACGGTCTCTAGCAGACAGGCTAAACCAGGTTAAGGGTAACTGATGGGCTGCAAACCTGTCAGTGAATTAGACCTCAAGCATGGGAAGACCTCCCCCAAGGTTGAGAACAGTTTGTTCCAGCCACCATAAGGGCCCCTGAACCAGGCACTGTGGAGCGCTTTGAGCTTGGTCAGACATTGAAGACTCCAAGGTCATGCACTGCATCCCAGGCCATCTCCAGTCATCCTGACTTCTGTCGTGCTGCTGGACTTCCATGACTCTGAAAGAGAGAGTGAGGTTGACGATTCTGTGCAGCTCTGCCTCAGGTAAATCTAACTCACCAGGAGTCGAGACATGGCCCGTGATGTCATCGGTCCTCCTTGAAAATGAAGGACAAACAACAACAGAATGAGGCGGTTGGCCTAAGATGACCTCCAAGATCCCTTCTAGCTTTAAAGCTAATTAATCTAAATTACAGAAGTGATACCAATCTACATCAGGGAGGGAAATTTCCATACTAGGAACTCACCCACACTAATTAAACCATAAGTCCAGACCTCCCTCCCCACAAAAAAAGTTCATAAAATATTTTCCTCATAACAACCCTCTGAAGTAGCTAATTTGAGTCTTATCTTTATTTTCATGTTGTAGAAACCCAGGAGTTTAATGATTTGCACAATGTCAGTTTCTAAGTATTAGAGCCATCTCCAAGTCATTAAGAGAATGAGTTATTCAGACAACTAATCCCACCCCTTGGCGTGTGGCTCCTTGTTTGCTGGGGCTGTGGTCTGGGGGCATGCCCCCCCCCTTGTGGTCTGTAGTCCCGTCTTGATTCTCACCCAGGGACTGACTGCCCTTGAAGGTTTCAGCCATGATGGGCTTATATCATCACACTGCCGGGCCCCAAACAGATGCCCATGTTCTCATGTGCTAGTCTGATTGTGTGGGAGCACAGGTACCTGTGTCGGGCAGTCTGCCCTGGTCTTTTATTTGCTTCCAAGAATCCTTCAGGATGTTTACTTGAAATTGTAGGTTGGATCCTGTCTAGTTTAGAATCACAAGGTGACCTAGAGATCACCCCCATCAGTGGAGGATCACAGCAGCAAAGTCAGGCGCATGTTCCCAGGTCTGAAGGGCACGGTGTGGGAGGAGGCAGCAGGGAAGAGTTCGTCCTGGAATTTCCTTCTCCCTTATAATATGGAGTGCTAACTTGAGGCTATAGGCCACCTTCTTCAACAGGCCTTTTCCAGGCCCAGTCCATATCTCCCCAAAGGTCACCTTCCGTCTACTCTCTCTCTCTTTTTTTTTTTTGGCTAGGCAATGAGGCTATGTGACTTGCTCACTGTCATACAGCTAGTAAGTGTCAAGTGTCTGAGGCCAGATTTGAACTCAGGTCCTCCTGACTCCAGGACCAGTGCTCTATCCACCGCGCCACTTAGCGGCCCCGCATCTACCTCTCTTGTATCTTGTCTGTCCCTATATATGTATATGTTGTTGTTTCTCCTTATTAGAATGTAAGTTCCTTTAGGTCCGTAAGTGTTCTTCCTTTTTTCTTTGCATTCACAGTGCTCAGCACACTAGTACATAGTAAGTGCTTAGCAAATGTTTGTTGACTGGTTAATTAATAGTTCTGGAAGTTTTTCCGACTCTTTGCTGGAGGGCTGACAGAATAGGCAGTTGACTAGATAGCTTTGTTTTAGAAGTTTTGAGAAAGGCCCTTTTCCCATAATATCCCTGTCCTACCCACAGGCCACACTGTCTGAAATGTACTCATCCATCCAGATGAAATTATGGAGAACCTGCTGTGTAAGAGGTCTTGGGATAGGCACTGTGGGGATATACAGAGAAATAGTAATAGCTGCCATTTAGTAGAGGTGAGGGAATTAAGGACTGGGTCTTGGAGTCAGCCAGATTTGGGTTCAGGTCCTAACTGTTATGTGGTAGCTGTTGTCTGTGTGCCTGTGGATGTAAGTCACCTAATCTTTCAGTTCCCCAGGCAATTCTGTATGACGTAAGTGATAGATGAGTTGCTGTTTTGCATAGCTACTTAGGGGATTCTTCATATTGATGAAATCGTAGGTCCAGACCAAATACACACACATACACACACACACACTCTCTCTCTCTCTCTCTCTCTCTCTCTCTCTGTCTCTCTCTCTCTGTCTGTCTGTCTGTCTGTCTCTCTCTCATCCAGTGTCTCAAACCTCGGTTCAGTTTTAAGCTATTAAAACTTTACATTGCACTGGGAAATTTGATGTACTCTGTATGTGTATATACATGTATATATAATATATGTACAAATATATGTGTACATGTACATGTCTGTTCAGGAGTTTTTAGTCATATCCAGCTCTTTGTGACCCTACTTCAGGGTTTTCTTGGTGAAGATGCTAGAGTAGTTTGCCATTTCCTTCTCCAGCTCATTTTTACCGATGAGAAAAATGAGACAAACAGGGTTAAATGACTTGCTGAGGGTCACAGAGCTAGTAAGTATATGAGGCCAGATTTGAACTCAGGAACCTAGAACTCTGTCTGCTGTGCCACCTAGTTGCCTGTATATATGCATATGTATAAGCACACATGTACAGATGCACACACATCTATATGGATTGCCATGCATTGTAAATATGGTATGTGTGTGTGTGTGTGTACACACACACATACATGCACACACAGATATAGTAAATATATAGTATTTTAAGGTTTGCAAAGCAAATTCCATGCATTATCTTACTTGAACTTCCCATGATTATTATCGGTATTTTACAGATAAGGAGACTGAAGCTCAGACAAATTAGGTGACTTATCCATGGTCATACAGCTAGCACGTGTCAGAGGTCAGGTTTAATCCCAGGTCTTCCTGACCACCAAGTCCAGTACACCATGCACTCTACCTCTTCTGCTTCTCCAGATGTATATAACCTAGTAGGGGAGATCACATGGTAGATAAAAAACTGTAATGAAAAGTCTACTATAAGAAATGCCATAATAGAAGTTGTTTTAGAAGTTCAAAAGAAGACGAAAGAGATGAATTTGGTGAGGCACAGGAGGAAAAAAAGGGAGGTGCAATAAGGCTAATAAATGCAATGACATAGAAATGGGAAAGAAGAGAGAGTTTTGTTAGCCCTGGAGGAGTACTTATTGAAGAAACAGAAAATAAATAACAAGTAAAGACATTGCCCATGAATTGGAGAATAAAATTTGGAAGAGAATAAAAGCAAAAAGAAACAGGAAAGACAAAGAATAGGAAAACTTCACAAAGGATGCTCCCCCCCCCAAAATGGTACTTAAACTAAGAGATGAAGAGAAGAGGAGTATGTTGAACCCCAGGTCTAACAGTTATAACTTAAAATTTGAATGGATTAAGCAATTCAGTAAAATGAAAGGGAATGAGTGGCAGCCTGGAAAGATGCCTCATATATTCCTCAGCCTGACTAAAATTCCTCCGCCTCCTTTTCTCTTCCCTCCCCCTTCTCTCCCTGTTTTTTTCTGTCTCTCTTATCTGTCTCTCACTGTGTGTCTGTCTCTCACTGTCTTTTTCTGTCTTTCTCTTGTTTCTCTGTCTCTATGTTTCTGTGTCTCTCTGTATGTGTATGTCTCTCTCTGTGTCTTTTTTTCTGTCTCTTTCTGTCTTTCTTTTTCTCTGTGTGTGTCTCCATCTCTCTGTGTCTCTGTATTTTTTCATCTCTTGTCCTTCCATCTCTGTCTTCTGTCTGTCTCTTTTCCATGTGTGTTTCTGTGTCTCTGTATTTTTCTGTCTCTCTCTCTTTCCCTCCCTCCATCTCTGTCTCTGTCTCTGTCTCTCTCTCTCTGCCCCTTCCTCTCTCTCTCTTCTCTCTCTCTCTCTGTCTCCCTCCCTCCCCCTGTCTCTCTCTCTCTCTCTCTCTCTGCTTTCCTCTTTCTGCTGTTTTAGGCTCACCCCTGCCTTACCCTCAGCAGCTTTTATCCTCTCAGACCTAAACCCAAGATACCAACCAGATACTGGCCACCCCAGAGGCCTGGTATTTTGAGCTATGGTGTTCCCCAGGAATTTTCATAGTACATTGAGCTCTCTTGGCAGCAGCTTCCTATGGTATAAATATACGCTGAGATTTCTCTTTGTCTTGTTTTTATGAATAGCTATCTTTTCAAGTTCAGAGCAAATTACAGAGCCTCTTGCCACACTGCCCACCAATGAAAGAATAATAATAATTTGACATCCAATGTAGCAGCCAAATACCCTCTTGATAAAGAAAATAATTTACCTGAGTGAAGTTTAAAGAAAGCCTCCAATCCCTGATCATTTTTACTCATTGTTTTCCCCTCTCCTGAAGTCTATCTTTCTTGACTTTCCTATCTGCTGGCTTAGACTAAATTAGCAAAGCCCCACAGAATTTTAGAAGTTCCCAGGACAGATTTATATCTGCAAGAAACTTTATAGGTTATTGAGTCTAACAAACTCATTTTATAGATGATAAAACTGAGGTCCAGAAACAGATTAGGTGACTTTTTCAGGGTCACACAGCTAGTAAATGTCAGAAATGGGATTTTAATAATAATAACAACAATAATAATAATAATAGCTCACATTATATAGCTCTTACTATGTTCCAGGCACTTTGCAATTATCACCTCATTTGATCTTCATAATAACCCTGCAAGGTAGGTGCTATTATTATCCCCATTTTACAGATAAAGAAACTGAGGCACAGAAGTGACTTACACAGGGTCACATGGCTAGTATGTGTCAGAGGCCAGATTTGGATTCTGATCCTCCTGACTCCAAGTCCAGCACTACACCATGCTCTCTTACCATGTTTTCCCTCTCCTCCAAATACCACCCCCATGACTCAGGAGTCCTTAAGAGCAGAATTGGCCACCCAATACCTATTCTCCACCCCATCCCCTAAATTGGCTTCAATAGAGAGTTTCTTTCTTTTTCAGATCTCTGATGCACTGGTGTCTCCAGAGTCAAATTGAAGAAGATTCCCAGGATGTAAGCAATACAGCACCAGTGAGTAATGTGGAGTGATGTCTGCTGGGGGTGTAGAGGGTGCCTGGATTGGATTTCAAAAGGAGAAAAGAGATGGGTGTGTCAAGCAAAAAGGAAATTACCTTATTTGAGGTAGTGTCTACAAGGAGGTGTTTGCCCTGTAAAACAGGGCCACCACGGCTAGACACAAGTCTGTCTTTGGCAATGGCACATCTGGGCTTGGTCATTCTTAAAACTTGGATGAGCCGTGGGGTGTGGGGGATTCCCCACACTGGCATCCTCCAACCCTTGGGGACAGTTCTTGTCAGTACATTGTCTTTCAGGTTCACTGGACATAGCCAGTTCCTTCCCATCTGTAGAACCAAATGTGCCAGTAGACGGGCTGTCTTCCGTATGCTTAGATACCATTGATAGCCCACCCTGTGGAAGAGATCTGCTTGAAGGTTTTCTGTGGCCTCAGAGATAAGCTTGCATTCATCTATTCATCCATCCTTTCTCCCTCTCCTCCCTATTATGACCCAGGAAAGAGATGTGGTCTTTGACCTAGTGAATAGGGCTAACAAACTAACAGAAGCCTAGAAACCCTTGAATTAGGAATGCTTAGCCTGTGGAAAGATTATTTGAAGGGCTATCCTGTGGGAAGAGATGAGGCTTCTTAACTGTGTGATTACAAAGGGAGAAGAACTGGGGCATGAGTTTACAGGGAGGTAATTCTCAAATGCCTGTAAGGAGGAATTTTTAAACTATTAGAACTGTCCCAAAATGGAATGAGTGTGAAAGAGTGAGCTCCCCATCACTGCAGACATTGAAGCAGATGCCAGATGGACCTTCTGATGACCTTCTGTGGTATAGAGGGAAATGTACTAGATTCACGCATGGGAAGACCTGGGTTTGAATCCTCCCTCCACCACTTAGTACATTAGGTGACCGTGGACAAGTCATTTCACTTCTGTCTACCTTAATTTCTTCATCTGTAACTCATGGGGTTGTTGTTGAAGATCAAGTGAAATAATGTATGTAAAGCTCTCTATAAAGGTCAGGTATAAGTATTATTACTCTGAAGAAGCACCATGGCTTAGAATCAGACTTGGGAGTCAGAAAGATTGGGGTCCGAGTCGTCGTTCATACATGTACCAGCTGGGTGACTGTGTTTAAATCATCATCTTTCAGTGCCCAGGGTAACTCACTGCAACTGGAAATTACAGTTGAATTGCCAAGCTGTATCAGTAGAAGAAAGTTCCATGCCAGGAGTTCCTTATATTGATGAAGTCTTAGATCCTGATCCAAAATTATTATGTTGTTATCTGATAAGAATGTTGGACAAGCAGGAGGTTAGACCAGCTGACCTTTCTGGGATTGTGACTCTGTTACTTTGACTCTGATAGCTGATTCTTGGAGCAGCTAGGTGGCACAGTGGATAGAGCGCTAGTTCTGAAGTCAGGAAGACCTGATTTCAAATACGGCCTCAGATATTTACTAACTGTGTGACCCTGGGCAAGTCACTTAACCCTGTTTACCTCAGTTTCCTCATCTATAAAATGATCTGGAGGAGAAAATTCAAACCACTCCAGTATCTTTGCCAAGAAGACCCCAAATGAGGTTACAGAGAGTGAAACATGACTGAAACAAATGAATGACAATAAAGCTAATTCTACCTATGACCAATGGATAAAACCAGTCAGAAATGCTCTTAGTCATAGTAATCACGAGTCCCTTTAAAGTCCACAGAGTGCTTTTCTCACAGCAACCTTGTGAGGTCTCTTAGTGTAAGTAGTATTCTTCCCATTTTATAGATGAGGAAACTGAGGCTCAAAGTGGTTAAATACCTTGTTCACATCACAAAGCTAGTATCAGGATCAAGATTCAAGCCCAGGTCTCCTGACTCCCAGTCCAGTGTGTCCTTACTGCTGGGGTCCCTCTGTCATGTACCTCCTATCCAGTTGCCATTAAACCATTAACTCCTTGAGAACAGGCACTGTCTTTTGCTTTCTTTGTATCCCTAGCACTTAGCACAGTAATTGGCCCATAGTAGGTGCTTATAAAATGCTTGCTGACTGACTGACTTTGACCTCCTTTTCCCTGATAGTAGTTAACCCTTGTATTCTAGAATCACAGAATGCTGGGCTAGAGACGACCTGAGCAATCCCTCCCCGCTCTAACAGTCTGTATCATTCTACAATACGAAGATGGTAGGTACTGAGTGAGTGCCTAAGACATCTGGATGTGTCCAGTGAGAGCGATTCGGCTCCTCTCAGCCCTCACTGGGCCAGGGCAGGAGTCCAGGCAGCTGGTGTCTCGTAGCCATACCAGTGTTCTGTCACCACGCAGATGGCCTTGTCCTCAAGGCTTGCCTCTAGTCCAGAGAAGAAGAGGGGAGCCAGAGCAAAGGAAGAGGGAGCACACCGAGTCGGCTCTGGCCACAGAGGCTTCAGCCGAGGAGCATGGCTCCCTTGATAGACAGAGTCCAGAGCTTAGGGGGCCCAGAAGGGGAAACGGGGCCGTGACTAAAGTGTCAGGTTACCAAGGTACCTGGGGCCACTTCACGGGAGGAGGAACTGGGGAGGCTGGTATACGCATGAGTGAAACCTGGCAGGCCGCGCCTGGCAACAGGGCACCGGATGGCTCTGTCACTCTGAGGAAGCACGGCCCGCAACACAAATGGAGAAATGAAGCAGAAGAGACGCCCATTTCGGATCAGAGGAGCCGCATAATGGGAGAGCAGAGGAGGGGTCTCTGTTGTTACAGCTCTGCTTTCTAACTTTGCCGTAAGCCATCAATATTTATCAAGTATGCCTGAAGAGCATGATATAGTGGACGGAAGAGAGCCGGTTTTGGATTCTAGAAGGCCTAGGTTCAAGACTGATATGCCTCAGCTGTATAGTACCTGAATGACCGTGGGCAAGTCCAGTAACCATCCTCCCAGGCCCTCAGTGTCCTAATCTAGCCATCATCTTGGACTCCTCGCTATTGGTCACCCATCATATCTAAGCTGCTGCCAAGGCCTGATGACTTCATCTTTGCAGCCTCTTAGATTCACCCCTTTCTCTCTGACCTTGCCACATCTCTAGGGCAGGCTCTAACTGCCTCACGCCTGGATTACTGACATAGCTGCTGGGGGTCTGCCTCCACTCCAATCCCTCCTCCATTCATTGATTTTCCTAAAATGCGGGGCTGACCATGTCTCCCTCTTCCTCAATAAACTCCAATTGCCTCCAAGATCAAATACAGAATGCTGTCTTTGGCATTCAAAGCCCTTCATAACCCAGCTTGGTCCTGCCTTCCCAGGCTTTTTTTATCCCTTACTGCCCTCATCATACTATGTTATCCAGTGACACTGGCTTCCTGGCTGTTCCACAAACAAGACACTCCATCTCTCAGCTCCAGGCATTTTCTCCGACTGTCCCCCACGCCTGGAATGCTCTTCCTCCTCAGCTCTACCTACTGACTTCCCAAGTTTCATCTTCAATCCCAACTAAAGTCCCTTCTTTTATAGGAAGCCTTCCCCACCCCACTCTTAATTCCAGTACCTTCCCTCTATTAATTATTTCCTGTTTCCTTGTTTGTACGTATTTGTTTGTTATCTCCCCCATTAGATTTTTAAGCTCCTTGGGGACGGGAATTATCTTTTGCCTCTTTTTGTATCCTCAGAGCTTAGCATGCTGCCTGGCACATAGTAAACATTTAATAAACGTGTTAAGTAACTTAACCTCTTAGTGCCCCTGGCAATGCTCTTCTCAGGGGTTCTTAACCTAAGGTCTATGAACTTTTAAAAATATATATATATTTTCATAAGTATCTTTCAAGGGAATTGATATCCTTATAACCCTCTGTATTTTATTTTCTTCATCTAAAAATACTTTGAGAAGAGGTCTGTAGACTTCACTAGACTTGCCAAAACAGGCTAAAAACCCTTTCTCTAAGATGAAAAGGTAGAGGTGCCTTTATGGATTAGTTTCAACACCCAGCAGCTCCCTACATGGACAGAAACATAGATCTGGACTCTCCCCTGTCCCCCGACCCTGAAAAAAAAATAATCCCTCTTAGAGGCAGCTCACTAGGTGGCATAGTGACCCTAGAGTCAGGATGACCTGAGTTCAAATCCAGCCTCAGACACTTACTAGTTGAATGACCCTGGGCAAATCTTGTGTGCCTCAGTTTCCACATCTTGGGGCAGCTAGGTGGCACAGTGGATAGAGTACCAGCCCTGCAGTCAGAAGGATCTGAGTTCAAATCCAGCTTCAGACACTTGACACTTACTAGCTGTGTGACCCTGAGCAAGTCACTTAACCCCATTGCCCAGCCCAAAAAAAACCAAACTAAACCAAAACAAAACAAAAGAGCTTCCACATCTGTAAAATGAGTTGGAAAATGAAATGGCAAAGTATTCCACTATCTTTGCCAAGAAAATACCAAATGGGGTCATAAAGAGTCAGACACAACTGAACACCAGCACCAACAAATTATCATAAGAGTCTATAGCCCTAAATAATTTCACAAATTTGAGAATGTTATAAGTAGCACCAACTTGAGGAGGACTTCCCATAGGATTCAGGCTTTGAAATGAGGGTGGAGGGAGCCATTAGCCGTTTTAGAGGTGAGCAAGGGTGAAGAGTAGCAAAGTTGACTTGGCTGGACTGGAATGAGCGAGCAAGCCACAGAGCCCGCCTCGTGACGTAAACTTGCTGTATGAAACTTACTAATTCATTGCATTTTAGACCCGGAAGAAGGAACATAATGACAGTTATAATAGCTAGCATTTATATAGCACTTTAAGATTTGTAAAGTGCTTTACAAATATTAAGTCGCTTGTTCCTGGGGGGGTTGGTGCTATTATTATCATCCCCATTTTACAGATAAGGAAACTGAGGCTAAGTGACTTACCTAGGAGTACAGGAACCTAGCTAACATACACAGATTAGAGGAGTGGCCTCTTGAAGAGTTCTGTGCTTTACCTGAGAACTCATAAGGCCCTTGTTATTGCATAAGCATCTGATTTATTCTGATTGGATTTTCAGATGGAT